CCTCATAAAAATCTTGTTATGAAAAAGCTAACTGAACAAAAAGCATGTATTTACTGATGAAGTTTATTCAGATTTGGATGCAGTCTGGTTCTCCTGCTGTGAACCAGTAACACGGTCCACGCCAGCTCTCCTGCAAACCAAGCAGCATTGCTTCACAGCAGCTTTCATTATTTCCTTATTGAACTCCCCACACACTCTTTCCTCATAGTTGAATAAAAAGGGAATGTAGGAAAAGTAACAGCTTATTTTTAATAAGGAGTACTTTTTTCCATCTCAGATAAAAAATCTGAGAGGTGTTTCATGTCACAGAACCCTAACTTTTTTGCCTTTTAAATATAAAGTAAAAATAGAATATGAACTGAATTCAACTACTGTTATTTCATCTAAGGGTTAACAATATTTCATTATATAAGTATCCAAGAATAAGATCAGTATGTTATTAGAAGTTAACCATTATGTAGTTATTTGCATAATAAATGATTTAACACCTGATACATCCAGACCCACATAAAATCTACATTGCTATGAAGTTTTTTACATTTATGGCTTTAGACATTACAATAATTCTGGCCCTCTGGGGACTTAAAAATAAGTGAATACCTTTTGTAGAAAAGGTTGACTCAGTATACAATTCATCAACCTAAAAAGCCCTGAAATGTAAAAGCACATGCCACTCTATTACATTCTATTTACAAAGTTCTTTTCTGAATCCTTTAAGGTGCTTAGCTTAAAACATATTTGTGTTAGAAATAAGCCTGTTAGGAAACTGGAACAAGTACAATCTAAGGATTCCTTTTTTTCCAGACCTTAGGGCTTATTTTACATGATTATCTTGCTTTGTAAACTAATTTCAACAGAATAGTGCTGCAGTGGGAATTCAACAGGCCCCAAAAAAGCAGACCCTGATGGACTTCCACTCCTTTTGTTTCTCCTGTTTGTAAAAAATCTGCTTTTACATTTGATAAGACTGCCTTCCTTTTAATGTTTTTATTACTTAGTATTCCTGCATAAAAATGTATTTTGAGTGAAGGCTATATTTACACTGAAAGTAAATTACAATCTTCAAAAGTTAATAAAGCAAGCAGCCAAGAGCTTTACTGGTACATTTTGCAAAACTCATCAGTGTGGTGGCATAATATTCAAGGACATTAGGAGGATTATGAGTTTGAAATCCATTTCCTGATAAACCTGATTATTTTGTATTCTCTAGTGAATTCATTCTTTCTTCTCTAAGATATCCAATCATGTTCCTTCTAACACACGGACTCCTACTGTAGTGAAGTAAGTGCCGCTAAGGAAGAGACCAGTTCTTGTGTTTCTAGCTGTATAATTTTCATTCTGCTTTCTCCTAGCAATCTCTATTTCATAATTGTTTATTGTCTCAAGTGATTTACATTTATTTAATCACGATCGGCTGTTTCTTGTGTTCTTTCGATATGATACTACAAATTTCTTAATGGCAGGAATCCAGTCATCCAATTGTTTTGCTCATGAGGCCCTGTAGAAAAGTCCATTTTTCAGCTAGGTGGACGTCAGAGCATAGCTGATATACAGTTTACAAATACCCAGTCAACACGTGGCTGTGTAGGGATATCTGCATTCTTCTCAGCAGCAATAAGGTCTCAAACACACACACACACAATTTGTTTTTACTGTTTACATCAACTCAATCCTCTTAAGCTGTAATAATCTTTTTTATTACCTTTTCAACAAAGTAGATGGTTGATTACTTCATCACTGCATTTACCATTTAGCTTTCCTAAAAATGCTAAAGTCATTAAATTTTTTAAAAATTCTACCATTATGAAGTTATCACATTTACTTAACCTGCTGTTCAAGTGTTCTGGTAGACACTTCAGTTCACTGCATGCTTAAAGTTAGTGAATGACAGGCACTCAGGGACAGGCACCTAGTGAGGAAACCAGCTCCACATTGTCCATGACAGCTCCATTCTAAAGCCCACTATTAAAGCAAAAATAGGATTGTAACAACCACTGGGCACAAAGCTTTATACTGGAATCTTTTTTCTCCTTTTCATTTGGAAAGAAGATGGCAACTTTGAAACTTGGGATACTTCTATAATATCTAAAACAGAAAAAACTTTACCAATCCCTTTATGAGGTTTGCGGGTGAATATACCAAGGATATCTGTAAGATTATGGAATGTTATTTCTTTTGAAAATAGATTATTTCTATGCTACCTGATAAAATACATATGGAAATAAAGGTTGGTTTTTGTCCTTTGAACCCATATTTTATTTCTATACTTTTAAATTAACATTGTTTCCGTCAAAGAAAGTTTTTTTTTTGTTTTCTTTTTTTTAAATCACCTATGGTGCCCTGGCTGGTGTGGCTAAGGGGATTGAGTGCTGGCTGGCCCATGAACCAGAAGGTCACCAGTTCAATTCTCAGTCAGGGCACACGCGTGGGCTGTGGGCTGGGTTGACAGTTTGAGCTGTGCAAGAGGCAACTACACATCAATGTTTCTCACCCTTTCTCTCTCCCTTTCCCTCTCTCTAAAAGTAAATAAAACCTTTAAAAAAATCACCTATGGCCCAAAATTTGACTAAAGGTCTGAATTTAATTCTCAGTAATATTTTAATTTTAAAGTATATTTTACTATGCTATTACAATCATCCCATTTTTTAATCCCTTTTGTCCCCTTCTGCCCTGCACTCACTCAGCATTGCCTCCCACCCACCTTAGTTCATGTCCATGCATCATACATTTAAGTTTTTTGGCTTCTCCATTTCCTAGAGTATGCTTAACCTTCCCCTATTTGTACCTACCAATTATGCTTCTTATTACCTGTACCTTTTCCCCCTATTATCTCCCCTCCCTGCTGATAATCCTTGATGTGATCTCCATTTCTGTGATTCTCTTCCTGTTCTAGTTGTTTGCTTAGTTTACTTTTTTTTTAGATTCAGTTGTTGATAGTTGTGACTTTGTCATCATTTTACTGTTCTTAGTTTTGATCTTTTTCTTAGATAAGTCCCTCTAACATTTTTATGTAAGGGCCTGGTGATGATGAACTCCTTTAACTTGACCTTACCTGGGAAGCACTTTATCTGCCCTTCCATTCTAAATGAAAGCTTTGCTGGATAGAGTAATCTTGGATGTAGGTCCTTGCCTTTCATGATTTCAAATACTTATTTTCAGCCCCTCCTTGCGTGCAGGTTTCTTTTGAGAAATCAGCTGATTGTCTTATGGGAACTTCTTTGTAGGTAACTGTCTCCTTTTCTCTTGCTGCTTTTATGATTCTCTCCTTATCTTTAATCTTGGGTAATTTAATTATGATGTGCGTTGGTGTGTTCCTCCTTGGGTCCAACTTCTTTGGGACTCCCTGAGATTCCTGGAAGTCTATTTCCTTCACCAGATTGGAGAAGTTCTCCTTCATTATTTGTTCAAATAAGTTTTTCCATTTCTTGCTATTCCTCTTCTCCTTCTGGCACCCCTATGATTTGGATTTTGGAATGTATGAAGTTGTCTCAGAGGTTCCTAGCCTCTCCTCATTTTTTTTGAATTCTTGTTTCATTCTATTCCAGTTGAATGTGTTTCTTCCTTCTGTTACAAGTTGTTGATGAGTCCTGGTTTCCTTCCTTCACTGTTGGTTCCCTATTTTTATTTCACTTTGTATAGGCTTCACTTCTTCCTTTATTTTTCAACCATGCTTAACCACTTCTATGAGCATCCTGATTACTGGTGTTTTGAATTCTGCATCTATTTCCTCATCACTTAGTTCTTTTCCTGGATTTTTTATCTGTTCTTTCATTTGGGCCACATTTCTTTGTCTTGGTACACCTGTTACGTTGTAAGAGGCAGAGCTTTAGGTATTCTCCAGGGCACAGAAACCCACTTCTCTGCGTTGTGGCTCTGTATGTGGGGGTCAGGGATTCAAGAGGGAACAATGCTGCTTGATTGGCTCTTGCCCAGCTCTAAGTCACTTCCTTGGCTCCCCACAAGTGGATTGTACCCTTTCAGGTGCTTCCCTGGTGCTGATTCCCAGGCAGGTGGGCTTCTGTATGTTCTAGAATCCCAGGGGCCCCTCCAGCGAACTCCTCTATGACACTGGGAATTTCTCCTGTTGCTGCAACCCCCACAGAATTTTAAGACCAGAGGTTCTGAAGCTTTAGTTTCCTACACTGGAACCCTGGGTTGCAAGGTCTAACTCGCTCCCCAGTAGTTCCTCGTGGCTTATATGTATGCGAATGTGGGACCACCCATCCACCTGCTGCCTCACCTGCCCAGTCTGCCAGCTGCTGCCTTGCCACATATCCTCTCCACCCTGGCTTCCCATCTCCACCCCTCCCCATCTCCACCCCTCCCCACCGGTCTGGGTGAATACTTCTTTTTTAACTCCTTGGTTGTAGTACTCCCATACAGTACAATTTTCTGGCAGTTGTCCTGGGTGGTTTTTGTTTTTAAAGTGGTTGTTATCCTTTGTTTTGGTTGCGTGAAAAAGTAAAGCGTTATCTACCTATGTCTCCATCTTGGCCGGAACTCAATTCTCAGTATTTCTTACTATAATAGTCGTGGTGGAACAAAGGGTAGCTGAGAAAAAGTACCATTGATTTCTTTTCACCTTCTTTCCCGGAGATTTAATCAAATTCTTTGTTAAATATTTAAATACTGCATAAAGGATAAAAAGCCCTTGTATGAATCAGGATTCACCATACGAAATGTAAAACATTAGCCTGAGGGTCACTAACACATTTCATTAGGTTCACAGATTTCTAGTACCACACTGTACTTTTCAAAATCTTATTGTAATAACCTCATAACTATAGAGGAAAGTTGTAGAGCTCCCTTTGAATGAAACATATTTTGACTGATTAAACAGCTGAGAGTTCACAGAGCCTAAATTTTCATTCCATAAAAATGAGATATTAACAGTAAATGAAAACCAAGAGGATAGACCATAACATAAACAGAAATAACCTATTATCACTATAGTATGCACACACATTCAAACATGAAAAATACCACACAGGAAACAGAAACATTTTTTAAAAAGTTTAAGATCATAAATAGGTCATTGTCACAACACATTTCAGAATTGAAAAAAACATTTTGGCTTTTTAGGAAAAAGATTTCTTTAAAAAAATCAATTCCCTCATCATTGAAAGGACTTGTGCATTTTTAAATTTCCAGTCTCCTAAGGCACAATGTTTATTTAATCAGGATGCCAGTATCATCACCCTGCTGTAGCAAGAATGAGGCAAGGTATTAGCCCTAATAAAAACTAAATTTTATGGACAAAAATCATCAGTCATTTAAGAAAAAGGACAAAAAACAGACCAAGTGATGATCATTTTAGTTGAGAACCCCAGTGTTGTTATGTAGAACTGTTAAAATTTTTTTAAGATCAAACTATTTTACCTCAAACAGATTAAATTCACCACAGAGGAGCTATGAGAGAAAATGGGGACTGGTAAAATAAAGTATACTTTCTTTTAAAAGGACTTGGGAGGAAAAAAGTAAACTTAGAAAAGTATGCGGAGGAGTAAGCTTTGAATGGCACCCAGAGTAGAGGCCTCGTTTATTCCTAGTCTTCAGGCGGACCCAGAAAATAAGACATTCTAGCCTACCACCCACCAACTGAGATGTAGTGATATACTATAATCAGATGTTTACACTTTTCCTCTAACCAAAGAGTTCTTTAAAATGTAACAAATATAAAAAGTTCTCATTTTTAAGTCTGCCTTGATTTGCCCTCTGTGATATCAACTAAACTTTAAGGTTTTGTATGTACAGTGTGGTGATTTAGTGTTACTTTTAAAAGAAAAAATACCCACAAAGTTAGTGATTGTCCACAGATGAAATATGGGGTGAGGTTCATAACTGAATCAACCATGGAGTGTTATGTTAGTCCATTGTAAACTCTTAAAAGTTAAGACTGGGAACTGTGTGTGTCAGACGCATCTGAGCACACAAGGAGAGGAAGAGAAGCCTGTCTGTCATTCCAACTCCGACAAGGTGCACGGTCTTCGGAACTCCTGCCCACGTTCATGGAGCCATTTATTGGATACTGTGGAGAGAACAAAATCTATTAAATTCACTGGTAAGAACTAGGTCTTTTAATAAAGTTTTTCTATGGGCTAAAAGTTCAAGACCAAAACTAGATAAAGGCAGATGCTACTTAGGCAGTCTTTCAAATACTTCACTAAATGCTGGAAACAGGAAAGACTTTAGATATGTGTACATTTGAGAGTCTATGTATGTGAATTTCCTAAAGTTTCTAATGTTCAACATAAGGCTTGAAATGAAACACATATTAAATGAAAATGTAGGTACAGACAGAATACTTTTACCTGTTTGCAAAATACAATCTCTAATACAAACACATTTTTAAAATGAACACAAAGTCTTCACTCTAAAGGAGCAACTCTCTGATCAACCACTACTGTTAACGTGTTATTTCCTTGGTTCCAAGATACCGTTTTCTACTGCAACCCCAAAGCAATCGATTTCCTAGTCCTTCTTCTGTATCACAGAACCTAATCAATAGCAGCAACATCTACAAAATATCTGAACTTGGAACCCCTAGTAACTCTTAACTACTTTTTTACCATTCTCAACTCCTATATTCAATCTTTGATTCGTCAAACCTGGTCAATTTTCTTTACATTTGCTGAATCCTGTCTTTGGTATCCTACTTTCGTGCTGCTTCCTTAGTCCATGCTTTCATCATCACCCACTTAAGACAACAGAAAAACCTTTCTAAACCGATCTCTCCTCCACTAGCCTCTCTTCGCTCTAGTCTAGTGGTTCTCAAACGTAATCGTCAGGGAAGATTTTTAAACCTCTGATGATCAGGTGTTACTCCTTAACCTTCCTGTGTCCAACACAGTAGCTACTACACACATGCGGCTACCGGGCACTCGAAATGTGGTTCGTGACACACGTTAAAATGGGTCTATGGGGTTAAATGACATGTTAAAATAACTGCACCTGTTTCTTTTTTTAATGTGGCAACTCCTACACTTCATGACCTTGACAATAAGCACCTCTCTCGTTTCTTAATAGTCCCAGACTTGGTTCCTAACATGCCTGGAAAACTACTGCTCTATCTCCAAAACCAAATTTAAAAATAAGCCTCCCCAAATGTAAGAAGCTGCCATTCTTCTGTTTTCATCTTTGTATTAGTATGTGCTACACTATAATTTATCAATTAGTATGTCTCAATCAGAGACAACTATGAACCTATTAAGGGGAAGATATTGTCTTATTTAACACTGAGTCAAGTAAGGAGTCTTAAAATAACAAGTGGAAATATTATTAAAAATAAAACATCAAAATTCTCATCTGTTAAAAGCAAATTTATGTTAAAATGAGAAACTTGCTTGGTTGAATCTTCATTTTATATTAAAGTCATAGCATGCAAATCTGTGAAAAGTTTTTTCAATTTCTTTTAAGATGTAGATAATTTCAAAATATGAAACAAAAATCACAAATTCTATTCGGAGAATATAGAAAATATTTACCCCATTTGTTTCCAACCAGCACTGGACACGCTGCGTGCCGTGTACTATAATCTCCTTCTCCACTGGCAAACAGATTATACCAGAAAACAGCAGTTCCCTGTGGAGAGCAATACAAAATTATGCCCAAATAAAATATCAGGTTATAACTTTTTACAGTGAATTTTCCTCTGCTCCTGTGAAAGTACTCCACTATGGCAGCTATAGCTTCCTCTAATATAATTCTGAAAATATGAGCGCCATGTACAAATTTTAGTGATCACATGAAAACACTGATACTACAAAGCTGCTTGCCAAAAAAGGGGACTTGCCAAAACAAATCTTGCAACAGCAGGATGGAGGGGGAAACATCACATGAAACCCATATTAGAAACGAAAACGTTTAAATACCAATTCTTTGTGGTTCATTACTTCAAGGTACTCATAGCAAATTGCGCCATAAAAATATCCATAGTTTTACCTAAAGATAATATAGTCCGTAAGTATACTATCTTTAAAATTGTAATTCATTAATTAGACCATGAAATAAAGATGCATCTCTTCCTTAGGAGAAGAAAAAGAGACACACAAAATTAAAATAACAAACCAAGTTTACCTTTTTGGGCCAAACACTAGCGCCCACTTCAGGAAACACAGTGGCTCCTCCTGCTGACACATCGCTCATCTGTAAGAGGTGAGAAAGCATCACCGGAAGTGCTGGTACTAGGACGTTAAACTGAATACCAGAATATGAGCACATCTGGAATTCTCCTTATATAGGTGAGTTTGTACCTGCTACTCAGTTTTTAAAAAACAAAAGATGCTGTTTAGGTTTACATACTTAAGTAAAAAAGTACACATATAAAGGAATTATAAAGTCAGGGAGGGAGATGGGAACATAATTTGGGATAGGCACTTCACTTGCAGCCAGAGGTAAAAAGGATGAGTTAAATTGACAAATGAAGGAATATAGAGTATAAATATATACATTATTCTACTAGAAGATAATATCCATGGGAGGACACTTTCATCCATTTTTTTTGTTCACTGCTGAGCTTTAGTGTCTGGAACAGTATCTCAAGATTAGTAGGTGCTCAGTAAATTAATTTAGACAAAATAGAAATTTAAAAAGAAAAATAACAGTAAACTAAAATCAGTTTTGTCATTTTTTGTGGTAGAGAATCAACATACATTAACTGAAAAGTAGAAGATTAAAGAATTATATAGTTAGTCTTCAGGGTAACCTAGAATTCAAACATGAACGTTCCATATTAGCTGAAGCACATGCACAAAATATGGCAAAGTAAACAAATCATATTGTGAAGGTTTTGTCAAAAGTAACAAATACAAGGTGTAAGCAGATAAAGACTGTATCACAAAGCAAAAGCCAACTATATGCTATTTCCAGGAGTCACATCTAAAACAGCTGAGTTACAAACACTGAAAACAGAAAAGGGTTGCCAGGCAAATGCTATACCAAAGAAAACAGTTTGAGCTTAATATCAGACAGTCTAAATCAAATTAAAAAGCACTAAGTGAGATAAGGAAGGGCATTTCACCATGAAAAATATATAATCAATAACAGAATTCACAGCTCTTAACTAACAGCAATGAAACCAACTTTAGAGAAATTAGGAAGTTGTATTATGCAGCCTACATAGGAATAGTACTTAAATAATGGGGGTTAAATGAATATTAATCTAATCAAAGTATAATCAGAAGGGGTTATAATACTCAAATAATCTACATAATCTAATAAATAATCTAATATAAATAAACATTGGACCAAATAGCACAGCATCATTATATTCACAAAAGCAAAGAAAAACAAGAAGAAACAAGTACAGCCAAAAATATCTGAAAAGATACTCAACCTCTCTAATCAGAGAAATGCAAACTAAAACCACAATAACTGCCAATCTGACAAGTGAAAGATCAAAAAGTGACAAAAAATGCACTTTAAGGTAGGATATAAATTAGTACACTCTATGGGGAGTTCATCTCTAAAAGGTATACAAGACTTACAGTATAAATGTTGTATAATGTATATATCAACTTCTCTCCTGGCAAGGGTTTTCCCTTTGCCATAATCTGCTCTCATTTTAAATTCATTGATAAGTCTTAAATCCTTTTTGATCCTAAATCCTTTTTTCATGGTACCTAAATCTTTTTTCATTCCTATGGTGTCTTTTTACTCCCCAAAAGATCTAAGATACTATAGATGAGAGGGATGGAAATCACAAAGGAAGGACAGAAATAAGGAAGGAAAGTAGGAGGTTGACAAGGTTGAGATGGATACAGGGAGCAAGAAGAAATAAAAGAGAGAGAGACATTTCAGCAGTAAGTGAGACAGCAGAAGTGACATTATCTGACTTCTGAGGACAAGTACTAAAAGTTCCCTGCACTTCTGCTATGTTTTTTAGGGGGATACTTGCTCTTGCAATACAGTTACCATGTGTGAGGAAGCCCAAGCCACAGGCAGGTATTCTGGCCAACAGCCAGCCTCAATGTCAGCCTTTAAAGATGGACTGTAGGGCTAGTCATCATCTGACTGCAAATGCATGAGAGATCCAAAAGAACCCTGAGGGAAGCCCAGTCAACCTCACAGCCATGAAAGATTAAAATAAAGTTATTTTAAACCATTCAGTTTTGGGGTGATTTGTTATGCAGCAAGAGTTAACTAGGACAGAGATTATAATCAAATCTTATTTTTTTTCTATATGTATGAATATATACTTAATTAAAAAAATAAAGAAATAGCCCTGGCTGGTGCGGTTCAGTGGATTGAGTACTGGCCTGCAAACCAAAGGGTCACCAGTTCAATTCCCAGTAAGAGTGCATGCCTGGGTTGTGGGCCAAGTCCCCAGAAGGGGGCACGAAAGAGGCAACCACATATTGATTATTTCTTTTCCTCTCTCTAAAAATAAGTAAATAAAATCTTTTAAAAAAATAAAAATAAAGAAACAAAATTCACACTATTTCGAAACTCTGAGAAACAATGTGAGGATGGTTTTCCTTGGTGGGGCTTCCACGGTGCTGTTTGTGCTCCTTCTTGATCTGGATGCTGACTATCACAGATTATTGTTATTGCTATATAGTTAGTATTCTGTATACTTTTATATCAATTAAAGTTCAAAACTATAAAAATAATGTGTATCTGCAGTCATCATCTGACTGCAAATATGTAAATTCATATAAACAGAGATCCTTATATACACATAGATGACCACAGTCCATACTACAAAATACCAACAATGACTGTCTCCAAGTAGTGAGACTATCAGTAATTTTAACTTTCTTCTTCAGGTTGTAATAGTACAACTGAATGTTACAACTGAAAAAAAATTGTGACTCCCTTTACTAAGCTGCAAAAACTTTAACTACGATGGTAAATAAGAGCAAACATCTGAACACATCAAAATAAGTAAGTTATGTGATCAAACCCCAACTTAAAATAAAAATTTCAGCTATAACTTACATAAAACAGCCACGTAGCAATTCTATTTCCTGTCCCCAGCTCTTTGAAGGCGTCTGGCTCGTCCTTCTGTAAATAAAACACAACTAATTCAGTGGTGTAAACTTCAGTAACGCAAATTCTCCAGTGGCCACTAAACATCGGTAATATGCTGAAGAGTATGACAAAAACAACGCCAAAAGGTTCCTTTATAATATCCAGTGAATTATATGCAGCAGGCATGCAAATATACTGGTTGGTTGTTGGTTCAACTTGTACACTGATTATTTTTTATAAGATCACTGGTGGAAAGGACCCCAGATTTATTAAAGTAAATAATGAGAACCAACAGTTACTATTCACAGATTTAAAAAATTAATACCTGCACTTTTAGCTTCCAAAAGAAAAAAACAAGACATGAGAGTCTCTTAGCTACATTCACGAAGTCTGTTCTCTGTGGGTAGAAAGTTTACCTTGAGATTTACTTTGAATTCACAATTAATTCAAATGTTTGCTGCTGCTATAACTTTCTTTTGGACAGTCAGCAATTTAATCTGTCTGGAGAATTTGTATCTGGCTATGTAAATCTAAATTAAAATATAATGTAGTCTCTTGGCATTTATCCCAGAAAAATAAAAATGTATTTTTTGCACAGAAATTTACATACTTCTTTATCTGTTAATAGTCCACAACTGGAAAGTACCCAAATGTCTATCAGAGGGTGAATGACTAAAAATACTGCAGTACATTCATACTATGGACTGTTATGCCGCAATAAAAAGGAACACAACACCGATACTTTCTGTTAGACTTGGATAAATCTTAAGGGAATTTTGCTCAGTGAAATCTAAAAAGAATACGTGAGTGTATATAATACACATAATGTTTATGAAATAACAATTGTAGGAAAGAAAGGATTAGTGGTTACCAGCAGTGAGGGGAGGGAGGCACAAGGGTTTGTGCAGCTACACAGTACTGAAAGGTAGTCTTGTGGTGATGGTGTGGTTTGTATCTTAGTGGTAGTTAAACAAAGCTACACATGTAATAAAACTCCACAGACACTCTGACACACACACACCAGTGCACATGTAACTGCTGAAATATGAATCAGCTGTGTGGTTTGTGCCACTGCCAAGTTCCTGGTTCTGATAGTGTTCTGCAAGATGTTAACACTAGGCGAGGCAGAGTGAAGGGGCATGCATAAAACTCCCTGTACATTTCTTTCTTTCTTTTTTTTTTTTTAAACAGCATGACCTATGTAACCTGATAATTCTTTTTTTTTTTAAGATTTTTATTTATTTTTAGAGAGGGAATGGAGGGAGAAAGAGAGAGAGAGAGAAACATTAATGTGTGGTTGCGGGGGGTCATGGCCTGCAACCCAGGCATGCACCCTGACTGGGAATCGAACCTGCCACACTGGTTCGCAGCCCGCGTTCAATCCACTGAGCTATGCCATCCAGGGTTCCTGTACATTTCTTTGCAACTTTCTAGGAACCTGTAATTATTTCAAAATAAAAAGCTAAGAAAAAAATTATATTAATATAGACTTAAACTCTTTCACATCATCCAAGACCTGCAGACATTTTTCAGTCATTGAAAAACAGGACTTCTGAGCCCTGGCTGGTGTAGCTCAGTGGATTGAGCGCAGGCTGTGAACCAGTGTCGCAGGTTCGATTCCCAGTCAGGGTACATGCCTGGGTTGCAGGCCATGACCCCCAGCAACCACACATTGATGTCTCTGTCTCTCTCTCGCTCTCTCGCTCTCTCTCTCTCTCTCTCTCTAAAAAAATAAATAAATAAAATTTTAAAAAAAGAAAAACAGGACTTCTGGCCGGGTAGGTCCTATAGCCAGGAGGCATAGCTAGACACACTGCCTCCTCGCACAACCAAAAGAGGGAATAACAACAAATTTAAAAATAAAAAACAACCAGAACTGACAGAAATCGAACTGTATGGATGTCTGACAACCAAGAAGTTAAAGAAGAAACATTTATCCAGACTGGTAGGAGGGGCGGAGACAGGCAGCTGGGCAGAGAGGATACTCAGGAAGGTGGCAGCTGGCTGACCGGGCAAGGTAGGGCTGGTGGACCAGGTGGTCCCATATTTGCATGCAGATAAACTGGGAGGAACAACTGGGGAGCATGACAAACAGCACAACCCAAGGTTCCAGCTCAACAACCCAAGGTTCCAGCTTGGGAAAGTAAAGCCTCAAAACTGCTAGTTGTAAAAACTTGTGGGGGTTGCAATAGAGGGAGAAATCCCAGCCTCACAAGAGAGTTCATTGTAGAGACCCACTGTGTCCTATTATGTACACAAACCGCCCACTTGGGAATCGGAATCAGAAGGGCCCAGTTTGTTTATGGGAAATGGGGGAAGTGACTGAAAGCCAGCTGAGAATCGAGCAAACAGCACTGTTTCAGCACAGCACTGCAAACAGCACAAACAGCACCTTGCGAACCCCTCACCCACATACAGAGTCACAACCAAGTGGGTAGCCCTGGCCTGGAGAATAGTAAAGCTCTACCCCTTACAACATAGCACATGTGCTAAGACAAAGAAATATGACCCAAATGAAAAAACAGATCAAAACTCCAGAAAAAGAACTAAGTGACAAGGAGATAGCCAACCTATCTGATGTGGAGTTCAAAACACTGGTAATCAGGATTCTCACAGAAATATGAGTATGGTCACAAAAATAGAGGAACAAGTGAAGGCTATGAAAAGTGCACTAAAGGAAAATGTGCAGGGAACCAACAGTGACAGGAAGGAAACCTCGACTCAAATAAATGATCTGGAATAGAAGGAAGAAATAAACATGCAACCATAACAGAATGAAAAAACAAGAATTTAAAAAATTAGTAAAGGCTTAGGAATCTCCTGGACAACTTTAAACTTCACAACATCCGAATCATAGGAGGGACAGAAGGAGAAGAGGAACAGCAAGAAATTGAAACTTATTTGAAAAAATAATGGAGAACTTCCTCAATCTGGCAAAAGAAATAAACTTCCAGGAAGTCCAGGAAGCTCAGAGAGTCCCAAAGAAGTTGGACACAAGGAGGAACACACCAAGACACATCATAATTACATTACCCAAGATTAAAGAGAAGGAGAGACTCTTAAAAGCAGCAAGAGAAAAGGAGACAGTTACCTACAAAGGAGTGCCCATAAGACTATTAGCTGATTTCTCCAAAGAAACCTTGAAGGCAGGAAGGGGCTAGAAGTATTCCAAATCATGAAAGGCAAGGATCTGCATCCAAGATTACTCTACCCAGCAAAGCTATCATTTAGAATGGAAGGGCACTTTAGATAAAGTGCTTCCCAGGTAAGGTGAAGCTAAAGAAGTTCATCATCACCAAGCCCTTATTACATGAATGTTATAGGGACTTGTGAAAGAAAAAGATCAACACTATGATCAATAAAATGACAACAAACCCACACCTATCAATACCTGAACCCCCCAAAACAAAAACAAAGACTAAGCAAAGAACTAAAACAGGAGCAGAATCACAGAAATGGAGATCACACGGAGGGTTATCAGTTGGGAGGGGGAGAGGGAGGATGGGGAAAAAGGTACAGGGAATAAGAAGCATAAATGGTAGGTACAAAAATAGACAGGGGGAGGTTAAGAATAGTATAGCAAATGGAGAAACCAAGGAACTCGTATGTATGACCCATGGACACGAACTAAGGGCAGGAGGTAGGGGGATGCTGGTGGGAGGGGTTGCAGTGCAGAGGGGAATAAAGGGGAGAAAAAATGGGACAATTTAATAGCATAATCAATAAAATATACTTGAAAAAAGAAAAAATATAGTTCAGCTTAGAAGATTAAAAAAGAAAAATAGAAAAAAAGACTAAAAATATATTTTTTGCTGGTCTACATAGAAAAATAATCTAAGATCATGAGATTAAGATAGTCAAGAGTGCCCTGGCTGGCGTAGCTCAGTGGATTGAGCACGGGCTGCGAACCAAAGTGTCGCAGGTTCGATTCCCAGTCAGGGCACATGCCTGGGTTGCAGGCCATGACCCCTAGCAACCGCACATTGATGTTTCTCTCTCTCTCCCTCTTTCTCCCTCCCTTCCCTATGTAAAAAATAAATAAATAAAATCTTTAAAAAAAAAAAGATACTCAAGAGTTATAACACAATATACAGACTGTATTTTCTTTCAAAAGAATATACCCTTATTTAAAAAGAGTAACAGATCAAGAAATTTATTAAAATACCCTGCATATTTTTGGAATTCATGTAATTACAATAAATCTTAAATTAAGATTTGGTAATGCCATACTTTATAGCTCAATATATTAAATCAAAAAGATTCAATATTTATTAATCTTAAGCAAGACTACTTGGGCAATAATAGCTTTTTGCAAGCTGCTTTTATATTATTCTCCAGTCTCTTCATATCTATTTTATGTTTTTTATCTTCCTGTCTCTCAAAATGTATTCTTGTAGTTTCTTCTATTTTATCAGCCAATTCACTTATTCATCTCACCTGTCTCTAGTGTGTTTTTAACTTACCCACTAAGTTTTAAATCCTAACAATTACTTTTTCAACTAGAACTTCTCTTTGTTTTTAAATGTGTTAAATCATTTTGAGAGCTTATTAAATTTTATCCTTTTATTTTTTTTTACATGTTATATAGTTATTTTATAGTCTGCATCTGACGATTCAAGTGTCTAACATCCTAGAGACATCTCAGTCTGTGGGTGGCTCTAGTCTCACCAATAGTGCCTTATTACCACTTAGTTATTTTTGAAAAAATTAGTTCATATTTAGCTGAACTTAATCTTTAACATACCCAAGGTGCTAGAATGAGGATGCTTCTCTTCAGGGAGCCAAGTACCAAGGACACTACTAAGGCTAACAACTTTAAATTAACGTCTCCTCTTCCAGGGTAGTACAAATTCAAACCTGAGCTCCATGTGAGGGCAGGCCCAGGCCTTCAGACTCCCTGCAGAAGCTGCCCATGGGCACCACACTCCAGCCAGGACAGTGAGACACAACTGTCCTGAAGGCTCCTGACTCAAAGCACATTGTCGTCAAAGCCATTCTGTCTTTCTTGGAAGGTGCAATCCTTTTGGAGATTGAGGTTTTACACAGGAGTCTCGGGTTCAATAACCTGCATTATGGCAGGTCCTCTCATAGAGCTAGCTCTTCACCCCCAAACTGCAGATTCCTGGAAATACATGCCACCAGCCTCAGTGTTTTCTGTCCCCCATTCACACTCTAATTTTAGTCTAGGTTTTCTTTGTTCAGTTTGCTTTTGATAATTTCCTGTTTCATCCAGGTTCATCAATGCACTTAAAAGCATTCTAAATTATTTTCTTGTGTATCTAGGTTTGTTTTTTACTGTTAAAAAGGTTTCACAGAGTACTTATTCCACCATCCTTCCATGAAATACAAACAGGCTATGAATTTTTAACACTAAAGAACAGAACTCCTACTGTTTTTACTTACCCGTGCAAAATCAAAATGGGGTTCATACTGTCCTCCCACTCCATAATTTGCTACCTGAAGGAGAGAAACAAAGATGAACAAAAACTATCAAGATTACTATTTAAAAATCTGTAAGCCCCATTTTGGCCTCTTACATTATCATGGTTAGGTACTTCCAGAGAAATAAGAAGCAAAGTTATTTTATTTTATTTTATTTTATTTTATCCTCGCCTGAGGATATGCTTAGAGAGAGGAAGGCAGAGAGGAAGGGGGAGGGACGGAGGAAGGTGGGGCAGGGGCTTGGAGGGAGGAGAGGCCGGAGTAGGATGGGGAGAGAAGGAAACATCAATGAGTCGCCTCCCATATGCACCCTGACTTGGAGAATGAACCCACAACCTAGTTATGTGCCCTGACTGGTTGAACCCACAACCTTTTAGTGTACACGATGACACTCCAAGCAACTGAGCCACCTGGCCAGGGTGAGAAGCAAAACACTTGAAATCAATGAGAGCTCCTAAGTAACCACAGATAAAAAGCATGGGTGGCTACTATATGCTATTTGAGAACCTTTGTTAATAGGCTTTTCTTTAGCAAGTGTTGGGATGCATGTTTTTCTCTAGTATATAACAAACTAAAATTTGAATTAGAATTTTAGAATTAAAATTTTCTAAAATGAGAATTATGAGATTTCTATGATTAATTTTCACTAAACATTTCCTTTTGGAATTTAAATCAAGGCATGTTTTCCAAACCTGAAAATGCTGGCAAACTCCCAATACCCTTTAACAAAATCCCTTTCCCACATTTTCCCCTACTAAAGTAAAAAAGGGAAGAAGTTAACACCAACTGAATTATTCCTGCTGGAGGGCTCTAACAACTTCAGTTGGCTATGACAATGTACTAGGGTGAAGTAGCAAAAAGAACTTAAGAAAAATATTTGGTCTGAGTTCAAGTTCTAGCTTTCTCAGTTACAGTATATGTAACCTCAATTTCCTTACTTATACAGTAAGAAAAATGACACCTTCTTTTACTCCCTCCTTCCATCACAATATGGTAAAATGCTGACAAAAATGAAAGAATCATGTAATTTAAAGAGTAATTTCGAGGATATGACATGAGAACATAATTTAAAGAGTGTTATCCACAGTAAAACCCAAGTTCTAGGTAAATTATTGTTACTCTGGATATTTTACTACTTTTAAAAAAAAATGCTCAACTGAGAATATGTTTATTGATATTAGAAAGAGAGGAGAGAGGGAGGGTGGAAGAGAATCATCAATTGGTTGCCTCCCATACATGCCCCAATGGGGAACTGAACCAGCAACCTAGGTATGTGCCCTGACAGCGAACTGAACCCACAATCTTTTGGTGTAGAGGACAATGTTCCAACCGAGCCACCTTGTCTTCTGTTATAGATAGATACCTTGAGTTGGATCAGCCTGTTAAAAAGGAATACATCAAGTAGCCTGAAAGAGCCTGTGAATGCTAAGCAGATGAAATAAATACAGATCAGGAAAGAAAAAGACACAGCAAAGACTTTCTAATAATCAGATAAGTACCAAGGAGAAAGAAAAAGACACAGCAAAGACTTTCTAATAATCAGATAAATACCAAGGAAGTTGTAGATTACCATGGATAAATACCAAGGAAGTTGTAGATTACCATGGAATGGCAACTTAATTAAGCAAATTTAAACATAGGCTGTCCTGCTTTGTCCAATTCCAAAATGTACAAATCTCAGATAACACGGTTTAGCTAACCATTAATACCAGAACCTGACAACAGTTGAAACTTCAGTTACCAGGGTACATTCATTTGGAGTAATGCATAAAGTACGAATGTTGCTGGTAGGTCTTCAGTCCACAGACTGCTAAGTCAGTAACAACTGCATATCAAGATCAATGACCAATCACCTCAGTTTGTTCCAAGTCTATCAGTGATTGGTCACTGCACCTCTATTACTCAGTTTGAATAACATACAGTATGAATAATGTACAGACAGCAAATCACATGGTTATGTTGCCACCTCTCTCCCAGTGAGAACCCATGTGATATTTATGAAAATGTATAATTGGAAGAGGGAATTGACCAATAAAGTATGACAGAAAAATGTAAAGGAATAATGCTTTAAATGAAATTCAAATCAAACTTAAATGGAGATATAGAAGAAATAGCTACATGAAATGCTTCCACTTTTGCTATTCAAAAAACTCTTACTTTGAAGATGGCTGCAGAGTAGATAGAAGCTACTCACCTCCTCCCAGAGCCAAGCCAGATTTACAGCTAAATTATAGACCAATCAACCTGAATAAGCAACTGAAGGCGAGCTGAACAGAAGTATTATAATCAAGGGTTTAAAGAAGTCACATAGAGACTGGTAGGAAGTGCAAAGATACAGAAAGGGCTGGCCCCTGCACCCACCTGTGGTTGTTGAGAATCTAGAAGGATATCTGGGCTGCAAAAGCCCCACCTGAGGAGTGTGGGATTTGAACCCCATGCCAGGATCCCCAACCTAGACCACCAGAACTGGGATGAGGAGCCTGCACAACATCTAGTTGTGAAAATCAGCTGGGACTCTTATCTGCCTGAAAGAGAAGGGAGTCTGCTAGAAACCCAGGTGCTCTCTTAAAGGGCCAGTGCATATAATCTTGCTCTTAGACACTTTACCTGGAGCTCAGATAGAGGGAAGGCAACTCAGGATATATAGGAGTCATAAAGAGAAGATCTGGGTGGCATGGCCCCAAGGAGAAATCTGTAGGGTCAGCTACTGAAGTCCCTGCACTAAGTCCCTATCCCATACCACCCTCAGGTGCCACCTTCCCAGGGTGACACACTCCTATTCTACAAGCACCAGCTGGGGAGTGCACTAGCCCAAACATCCAACTACTGGTGACACCACCCTGCCAAGCTCTAGTCTTACAGAAAGGTCTGCTGGGTGCACCCAACAGCAAACTTTGGGGGTGCTCTTTTTCTGGAGAAGCTCTTGGTGGAGACTCAGTTACTAAGCTGTGCAGCTCTGAAACAGGAGTCATTCTTCCCCCACTTGCACACTCACCTAGAGCCCCCACCACCTGATGATTCTCTTGGCCTGGCCTTCTGACTCCCAGTGGCCCTGCCCTACTGAGCTCAGTCCCACAGGGAGGTTCCTGTCCAGGACTCAAGATGGGCACTGGGTTGTGCAGCTATGGTGCAGGGGGCCATTCTTATCCGCGACCCCTGTAAGCTCAACTGGCACCATTCCCCTAACAGAAGACTCATTTGACCAGTCCTTCTCACTCCCGGGGGCTCCACCAAGTTCAGCTCCAGAAGCAGCTGAGCTTGCTTCTGCAAAGGGGCTAGCTGGCTGCACTGTTTCCTGAACCTGTGGTGTGCTCCTCCTGGAGGAGCTAGGGTTAGTGACTATGGCAGAGACTAAATGGTATGGTTTGGAGTAGGGGCCATTTTCCCACCATTAAGTGCCTGGCTGTGCTGTCCCCAAGCAGGAGACCCACTAGCCCTGTCCCCCCAACTCCAGTCACCCTGCCCTATCGAGCCTGCACCTTGTGGAAGAGTCTGTGGGTGGCAGCCAGCCAGGGTCCATTCTACATACTTCTTCAAAAGGCTCTCAAGGAAGACTAGGCAGCCTCAGAGGGTGGCAAAGTGGCTGACCAGTAGATGTTGACCTTAAGGTGCCTTGGATCTTTTACTGGTCTGACCCCAACTCAGAGCTGGAGGAAGCCAACTCTTGTATGCAACTTAGCCCTTCCCCCATAGACCTAGGCCCAGAAGAGGCAGCTACAAACAGCAAATTGCATGGTAGCTCCAGGCAGGTAGCCCAAGCAGCATCTGACATCAACCTGCAGTGGAACTCTGCCCAAGTGGACCCAGAACAGACACAACCAGGGGTGAGCTTTAGACCACACTAGAGTTCACCCAACTAGCCACACAATCCACACATCCAAAGACAGTTCCTGGGAGGCACCAGACCCTGCTGGGAACAACTCTACCTCAGGGGACAGCCCCTGCATAGCAGTTCATACACTGTGACTGAGGTCTATCCTTACAGTCAAGTCAACAACATTCAAGACTCAACTACAACAGGATGGCACATATAACCCACACAAAAGATATTCCTGCAGCACCTAGCTCAGGGGATCTGGAAGACTGAGTCACTGAGTCCCACAAGACACCTACAACATAAAACCACTAAAACAAGTTTGAAAGTTATAGCAGATCTACCTACTATACAAACACAAAAAGGCAGACAAAACGGGGAGACAAAGAAATGTGCCCCAAATAAAACAAGCAAATCCCCAGAAAAAGAATTAAATGAAACGGAAGCAAACAAAATACCAGACGCAGAATTTAAAACAATGATTATAGGATGCTCAAGGACCTAAGGCAAAGAGTGGATGATAGTGAGGACTTGAAAACAAAGAGACAGTAAGCATTAAAAAAGACATAGGAACCATAAAAAAGAACGAGTCAGAATTGAAAAATACAATATCTGAAATGAAGAATACACTAGACGGAATCAACAGCAGGTTATGACGCAGAGGATCAAATCAGTGATTTAGAGAACAAGATAACAGGAATCACCCAAGCAAAGCAATGAAAAGAAAAAAGAATTTTAAAAAATTAAGTATGAGAGACCTCCAGGATATTATCAAGCATAATTCATGTGCATCATAGTGGTACCAGAAGAAGAGAGACAGCAAGGGATCAAGAACCTGTTTGAAGAAATAATGACTAAAAACATCCCTAACCAGGTGAAGGAAAAGACACTCAAGTCCAGGAAGCACAGGAAGTCCCAAACAAAATGAACTCAAGCAGGCCCACACCAAGACACATCATAATTAAAATGTCAAAGGTTAAAGACAAAGAGAGAATCCTAAAAGCAGCAAGAGAAAAGCAGTAGTTACCTACAAGAGAGCTCCTGTAAGACTGCCAGCTGATTTCTCAACAGAAACATTCCAGGCCAGAAGGGAGGAGCAAGAAATATTCAAAGTGATAAAAAGCAAGGACCTACAACCAAGATTATACTACCCAGAAAGGCTATCATTTAGAATTGAAGGATAGATAAAGAGCTTCCCAGACAAAAAAAAGCTAAATGAGTTCATCACCACCAATCCAGTATTATAAGAAATGTTAAAGGATTTTCTTTAAGAAAAAGGAAAAACGTAAAAAATATGAATAATATAATGGTAATAAATACATATCTATCATCCGCATGTTCACTGCAGCATTATTTACCATAGCCAAGATATGGACCCAACCTAAGTGTCCATCAAGAGATGACTGCATAAAGAAGTGGTGCATATGTACAACAGAATATATGACTCAGCCATAAAAAAGAATGAAATCTTCCTTCTGCAACAACATGAATGGACCAGAGGGTATCATGTTGAGTAAAATATGTCAGACAGAGAAAGACAACAGCCATATCATTTCATTCAAATGTGCAATCTAAAAGAGAAGATAAACACAGCAGAACAGAAAACAGACTCCTAGATACAGAGAACATTTTGATGGCTGCCAGATGGGAGGCGGATTAGGGAGGTAAGTGGAAAAGGTGAAGGGATTAAGAAGTACAAATTGGTAGCTACAGAATAGTCATGGGGATGTAAAGTACAGCATAGGAAACATAGCCAATAATATTGTATGTATGGTGTCAGATGGGTACTAGATTTATCAGGGTGTTCACTTCATAAGTTATATAAGTGTCTAATCACTGGGTTGTACACCTGAAGCTAATGTAATACTGTATGTAAACTGTAATTAAAAAGTAAAAAACTATTAAAAAGAAAAAAAGTTTTAAAAAACTATATGGAGGTGACCTGGCTGGGTGGCTCAGTTGGTTGGAGTGTCATCCCATACACCAAAAGGATGTGGGTTCGATCTCCAGTGAGGGCACAGACCCAGGGTGCAGGTCTGAGCCCAGTCAGGGCACTCACGAGAGGCAACTGATTGATGTTTTCCTCTGTCTCTCACTCCCTACCCCTTCATCTCTCGCTAAAATCAATGAACATATCCTTGGGTGAGGATTTTAAAAAATAACTAAATTGAAGAAAAAAACATTTGGGATTCACTGGAAGAGGTCAAAATTGCAACATTAACAGCAGTTTGGAAGAAGCTGATTGCAACCCTCATGGATGACTTTAATGCATTCAAGACTCCAGTGGAGGAAGTTACTGCAGATGTGGTGGACAAAGCATGGGAACTAGAATTACTAGCACCTGGAGATGTGACTAAATTGCTGCGATCTGATGATAATAAGATACTGCAATCTTAGGAGTCGCTTCTCATAGATGAGCAAAGAAAGGGGTTTCTTCAGATGGAACGTACTCCTAGTAAAGATGCTATGAAGATTGTTGAAGTGACAACAAAGGATTTAGAATATTACAAATACTTAGCTGATCAAGCCAAGGCAGGGTCTGAGAAGACAGATTCCAATTTTGAAAGAAGTTCCACTACGGTTAAAATGCTATCAAACACCACTGCATGCTACAGAGAAATCATTCATGAATGGAAGAATCTATAACGTGGCAATCTTCACTATCTTATTTTAAGAAACTGCCATAGCAACCACTGACCTGGTCAGTTAGCAGCCATTAGCAATCAGGCAAGACCCTCCAACAACCAACAAAAAGACAGATGAAGGCTCAGATGAGTGAACATTTTCTAGCAATAAAGTATTTTTAAATTAAGGAATGTTCACTGCTTTTTTAGACATAATGCTACTGCACACTTAACTGTCTACAGTATAGTGTAAGCATAACTTTTATATGCACTGGGAAACCAAAAACCTGGTGTGAGGTCACTCTATTGTGATATTTGCCTTATGCTGTGATCTGAAACCAAAACCACAACATCTGCAAGGTATGACTGCACTTTAAGTAGGTGAGGTTTCTTCCTGGCATGATGAAAATGTTCTGGAATTAGATGGTATTGGTGGTTACACAACTATGGGAATATAATAAAACCAGGGTAAATTTTATGGTATATGAATTATATCTCAATAGAAAAGATTAAATACATATATACACATATTTTTTTTAAAGAACTGCCTTGGTTACCACCTAACAGCCCTAGGAGTGGAAAAAAAGAAAATATTATAGTGTACTTAATAAATATTAGTGTCACATTATTTCACTTCCTTATAAATTTATACTCAACAGTAAGAGTTTTTAATGTTTTGAAAAGTTTTAACACAGAACAATTATAATGTTCTCACTGATTATTAATGTTCTCACTGATTTGCTGGGTTCAGCGTAACTATTCACTCCTACAGTCCCAGCCTGTCATGCCAACTGAGTGCTGCCTGTGTAGTGTCAGGAAATCTCATCTGAGGCATTTTTTTCAATAAGTATAAAGATAACTTAAGGATAATGTGATAGTATATAACTCAAGGATAATATAATTACCCACCTGTAATTCCTCTGCCGTGGAAACATCCAATCCTGTCAGGTCTTGTATTCTCATATTAATTCGAGACACCACAGGGTTTTCATAACCAGAGAGCCAGGCACTAAGAACAAGAAGAAAATACTAGTTTTACTGATGTTTCAATACATGAACACAACAGCTGTCATTTAAAAAGCTATTACATATGGGACAATAAGCCTTTAGGCATTTAGTTGATTTGCTTGTCTAATATGATTTTTACTAATGAATGTTGAAATTTCAAAAAGATGTTACATTTTACAGTTAGAAGTTAGAAAGGAAAAAATGATCTCTTTTATTGTAGTTTCTATGAAAATAGTTGGGTTAATGTAAGAAGGCTATATAGGGCTATCTACAGTGAGATTTTTTTAATTCTGGAAAAATCCATACCAAACTTGACATAATTGTTCTTTCTAGGTTAGGTAGAGGAACTGACTGGGGTGGGTCATAAGGTTTTGGGCCTGATTTATATAATACTAACATAAGAAAAAAATACTCTTGTATTACTTGCATAAATAATTTTTGAGCACCCAAATGCACCCAGTAAGATGGGTGTAGAGAAAAAGATGGACAATGACAAGGGTCAGCAAGGAAGTGAAGACACTGGACCCTCATAGCTGCTGGCAGAATGGCAATGTGGTGCATCCACTCTGAACAGCTGGACAACTCAAGCTGCTCAACACTGAGGTACCACCAGACTCAGCAAATGCACTCCTTGGGACAGACCCAAGAGAGATTACAAAAACTTGTACACAAATGTTCACAGCAGCATTATTAATGGCCAAAAAGTGAAAATAACCCAAATTTCCACCAACTGATGAATAGATACATAAAATACAGTATAACCAGGCTCTGGATTATTATGCCTTGAAAGGGAATAAAGTATTGATGCTGCTAACATGGAAGAACCTGGAAAGCATCATGTTAAGTAGGATAAGCCAGATACAAAAGGCAACACATTATGATTCCATTTACGTGAACTGTCCAAAGTAGACAAATTGATAGCTACGTAAAGTAGATTAGTGGTTGCCAGGGAAAGAGGGATTGGGGGGACTCCTAATGGGCACAGGATTTCTTTTTGGGAGTGATGACAATGTTCTGGAATTAGATAAGGGCTGCACAATAAAAAAGGCTAAAAACCATTGAATTGAACACTTTGAAAGGGTAAATTTTATGGTATGGAAACCATAGCTCAATAAAATAAAGATACTCCCCAAATTCAAGTATCTCCTTTACATGTACTCTTTCCCAGTCTATTAGTCTTGTTCTTTCTTCACCTCTCCTTTCATCAAACTTTGACTTCATGACCCACAATTTTAGCAACATTCCTGCTGAGAGCTTCAATCCTACTATCTGGTAAAAATACAATCCTGAATGGATTTTTTCCCTCTAAACTTAAAACCCACGTCACAAAACCCTATTGAAGAAAGTCGTGAAACAGAGTGGACATGCTCCAGTAGAAATAAATGTACACCAACCTCAAATGGGCCCTTCCTCCTACTCCCTCCTATACCCTGAACTCCACCCCACCTCAGTCTCCCCCTTCATTCAGTAGGTAACATATCTCCTATCTCACACAGAAAATGGAAACCATACAATCTACCTACATTTACATCTATCTGTTCCTTTTCATTCATTCTAGTGCCTTCATTCCAGTTCCCAGGAATTTCTCTCCATTATCTAAGGCTAACCCCCTGCCTTAGTTTCTATTATCTCTGCCATTTTAGGAACCATAAATCACTGATTAGCACTTCTACTATATAATCAACTTCGGTTCTCAATAATTCCTCCCATAGCTTTAAACTGAGCTTAAGTCTGTCCCATTAAATAAATACAAATTTAAAAGTTTTCTCAACTCTCCATCTCCCTCCAACTACCAACCTTTCTCTTCCCTCTTCAAGTCAACTTCTCCACAGGCTCATTTCTCAATGCATTCCATCAAAACTTTTGTTAATATCACCCATTACCCTACTGTGCTACTAAATCTTACAAGATTTTCTAATTCTCATTGTATGTGCTCTTTTAAGTAACATATCCAAATGTTCATCCATCCTAAAACTCTCCTCCTCACTCATTCATTCCCCAGATATCCCTTCAGTCTGTTTGGCTGCTCCGTCCTGGGTTCCCTTATAGCTTCTGCCACTACCCTCTGCCTCTCTCCCGGTGCCCCAGCAACACTTCAAGGACTTTTCCTATAGCCCTAAGGCTAGTACACATGCTCTTCTCTTGGCCCGGAATGTTCCTCTTTTTCAAAGTGAAGCCTTTGGATTATCACTTCGGTCATCTCTTCTTCCCTGCCTCTTCCTCTTGCCAGACTAGATAAGAGCTTTTTTTCTTTGGGGGGGGGGGGGGGGTGCAGGGGGATGGTGGGGGGTAGAGGAAGGAGGAGGAAGTTTTTTATTTTTTTCACTAATTATAACATGAAAATGACATGACATGTTATTAAAAGTTAAACCAGGACAAATAATACTGCTGTAAAATTTACATTTCTCACATCCATTTCAGAAGAAAATATATTAGGATTCTTTTTCATGAGCTGATTTCAGGAACATTTTCTCAAACTGTGCTGAGAAGTAGTCAGAAAGGCAACTAAAATAATAATAACTGCCAGGATTAAGACTATCTTATGAAACATTAAAAACCACATCTGGTTTTTAGCTGTTATATGAATGCACCTTTCTCATTGGTAAGACAATTGTTCACTGTGCCACAATGATTACCAAGTTCCTTCTTAAGTAACAGATACTCAATTGAGCTCAAGACAGTGAGTTTTCTAATTTTGCCCTCTTTTGGAGCACAAGCAAATCTTTGTCTTTTGTATATATGTAGGAAAATGTTGTAAAATGCAGCTGTTATAATCTACTAAATTTCCCCTCACAATTAAACAGTGGCAATTAATTATGATTAGGAATATACCTTTGTAATACTTTCAGCTTTTGAAATAGCAAGGCTTCTAAATCACTTCTCAAAACTAGCTTTCCATTTTGGTACATAATTGATAACATTACACATTTGATTTGTATTTCACAATTTCTTCTATTGACTACTATACCCTTAATAAGGGTTAGTGATTTCAAACAATTTTTACATATTCTAGATGTGAGGTTTCATTTCATTGAACTGAGTTTTTCTTCACTCATATACTTATAAGAGGTAATTTGAGCACAAATATATGTGTATACATATTATTAAAGTAAGTTACTTTTACCACGAAAAAACTAGACTACAGAGCCAATGACAAGAAACAATTTATGTTCCTTAGAAATCCTTTTCTAGGTTGAGGAGGTTAAGTATTATTTGTTGAAAAAATTGATGAGGCTACAGTCTTTTTATCATCTGTTAATCCCACATTGCCACGTGTTACCACCTATACCATGTCCACTCAGTAGCACTAGTCTCTTAGAGCAATGTGTATCAGAAACAGATGATGACTTTAGCACCCAATGCTATTTGAATCTTTCAATAACTGTTTCTCCCTCTACTTTGTGCCCAATCTTGGTATCAAAGTAAGTATCAACAAAGCTGAAGAATCCAAACCTTCATTCCAACTTCCCTGCATTTCCTAACTACTGAGACTACATCTTCAGAGAATGCTGCCCTCCCTGTGTAGCCCTGCTGTTGTTTTAGTACCATGGTCCTTCAGTCTAGAAACACCTGCCAGCACATGTCATCCACCCCATTCCCAGATGCTACAGGGTTCAGAATATCCCATTCCAGTGGGAATCTTCTTCAGCCTATTTCCTCAAAAGACTGAGGTCTTGTTGGCACTCTGCTTCTTTAAGAAGTGTCTTTGCCTGCATATACACCTAACATTTTCTTCAATGGAATAAAATAAAATGTTCTTCATACCTTTGATACCTAACAGGATCATAGTGACTCTGGTAGGCTCCTGCTAGATGCTATGGGAATCACTCTAGTGATTGGGAGGATAGAGAATGGTGGCCACTGTACCCCTAGAACAATCCTGGGCTTCTAACAGCCCCCCATGAATCTCAGAGCTGGCAACTGCCTGCAGTCTGAAGCACTTCAGGAAGAGGCTACCTTCACGCACCTGAAAATAGAGCAGGCAGCTGCCCTTGATGTTTTTATAGTTCTATATCATCCTTCCCTTTAAACATTTACCACAGTAATTACACATTAATTTGTTATTTCATTAAGGTAAGATGTCTTCATTTAACTACTAGTTCCAAATACATATAAATTCTGCCTGGTTTTGCTCATCACTATATCTGCAGAACCTATTACAGTGCCTGGCACACAGGAGATGCTCAATGAATATTTGCTAAATGAATGCATCTTAGAACTTATCTAAGATTTACTCTACCATAATTATTCGTCTGGTGGTCTCTTGCAAATTTATAGGAACTGGCTGAGTAGAATTCCTCAGTGTAGCAGAAATAGGAAGGATCCAAGAATTTTACTGTTACAAAGGATATAGCTGATAAATACACTAAAAATTTATTTCTCCCAAAATCTCACTCAGTTTCTCAGGTAGTAAGGAAGTATATAGAACTAATGTAGTATGTTGAACTAACACAGTAGGACAATGTACATATTTTTTCTGCCTGTCAATAATTTGATCGGTTTTTGAACTTTATAAGCAACTAACTACTGACATGATTTTTATAGATAACTGGCAAGTGTTGTAATAAAGTTTCACATTAAATACATCTTGACAAGACAACTTTCCCTACTTCATCCTGGAACCTAACACCTTAAGAGAACCTGCCTTCTACTTCTGGTATATTCAACCTCCTTCCCTGCTACCACCAGTATTTAAGCAGCTATTCTTATCTTTTCTCTTGCACTTTGGTAAAAGCACTGTTCTTCAGTCTCACAGAGGTTGGATCTTCTATCTATGCTTTTGAATCCACACTTTCTAATTCCATAGGCCTCATTTCAGCAGTTATTGCTTCCCTTATTATAGTTAACCTTTTCCTTGACTACGATTGCTTACTCTTCAACCTGAAGTCCCCTGCTACCAAGGAAAACACCTTCCCTTTGCCACTTAGCAATGACCATTTCAGTCTTTCATGTTATACTTTTAAAATTGCAAATGTATGAAATGTTTGTTATATTTGACAA